TGATCTGACACATACAACTCACAAACACTGATCTGACACATACAACTCACAAACGCTGTGATCTGACAGGTACAACTCACAAATGCTGTGACTACTAATTTCAGACTATAGCTCAATTTACTTTCAAATAATTTAGCAGATAATACAAGTTTAAGACAATGTGTCACAGTGACTTTCATTCCATAAATGCCCATATCACATCAAATCACAGGAGTTAGCAATTTATGATAAAATGACAATAGATCTCTTGTGTTTCAAGCTGAGTTTCTGGTGTCAATATTTTGCTTTTTTTATATTTTTTAATTCATTAATACACCAAACATAGTTAAGGTGATATACACTATACTTATGCTAACATCTTGGTGGTGAGATATTTCAGTTAAACAACATTCATCCAGCTGCTGTATTCAACAATACAAACCTTTATCCAAAACCGTCTGCTCATGACGCTATGTTATGTCAACACTTTTATCCAGCGTCTCGTTATATGATGCTGTCATCACTTAATACGGTCACTTTAAAATTAATTACAATGTCAGACGACTGTCTTTGTAGGTTTAACGAAACGCACCAGAAGTAAATTGAATTTCTTTTTTTTTATTGACTAATTCTCCAGATATGTATTTTATTTATTAGACTTCTTATCCAGTAAGCCCTTATTTCTGTGCTACTTTCTCACCGGAATCTGATTACTTACGTCTCAGTGAGATTTACGTCATTGAACAAGTTACAGACGAAGTGGTTTCCCCGTCATAAAGTTGTCATACAAATATTTACCAACATTCAATGCAAGTTTTGAGTCTTGCGTACAAAATGTGACTGAGGTTTTGGGTTCTCTTAAGGCATTCAACTTCATTTATCAATTGGTGGCTATTTTTATTGGCTTATCCACAATAAAGTGTCAGGAAAGTCATAGTAGTGGCAAAATGTCTTTCGCCAGCATCATCGTCATTGCAAACTTTTCTTGTGAGTGTGATAACTCCAATAATATTCAGCCGTGCTATCAAATTTTTATATGTGGTTAAGTATAGTTGATCTGTATCGATTTTGGAGTTAATTGTATATAGTGGGAAACTTTTGTTTTTAGTTCTTTAGTTTTTTTACGAATTCTTTAATTGTCACATGTTTTTTTTCTTTGAATTATTTGATTTTCCCTTTTCTCAGCATTTATTTCTTACCCGGTATGTAAATTGTATTAATAGAGGGCGCTCTTTAACTTTTTGTTCATAACTTCAGTCTACAAAATTTTAAATGAATTTAATACCAAATACATACTACAACTATTTGCATGTGCTGGTATTAATTACGGCTCAACTATTCGGCAAAATAGAGAGGGATGTGAAGTCATAATTTCTAGCATCTATCTAATCAGAAATTTGATCCAAAATTGATTGAAATTTATTAGTCCTTTCTTGTGTCCGTGTGTCCGTGCATCCGGTTTTATGCTTTTATGGATGGATTTTGTTCAAACTTGGTACATACGTTGGACATTATGGGACCTTGATGCACATCATTTTATTTTTTAGATCCGATTTAAAATGGCCGACTGGTGGGCATTTTGTTATAAGGAATGCAGTTCTAGTGCATGACATAGATATATTGATTTGACTAGCAAAATGGCCAAATGGCAGCCATTTTCGTGCTAAAAAATCATCAAAAACCAAGCATTTTTGGCATTCCAGAACTGGATCTTAGCGTTTATGGATAGATTTTGTTCAAACTTGGTACATACATTAGAGATTATAGGTTCCTGATGCATGTAATTTTATTTTATGGCTGACTTGCTGCCATTTTGTTTGAATGAATGTGTTTCTAGAGTCATATCTCTGATATGCTTTGAGTGATTATGTTCAAATTGTATATATTCGTTTTACATCGTGTTATGAATATATAGATGTATGGTGGAAATTTTGTTTTAATTAATGCTGTTCCAGAGCAATATTTCTCAATATGGACAAGTAGTCATTTGACGATCAGATACAAGATGTCAATCATTTTAATGTTAAAAAATCGTCATCATCATCTTCTGGATCCATACTTCTGACATGTTTATTTTCCAACTATATTACTATAAAAGAAACTATATATCTTAAATTTGATAACTAACAGGGACTGTGCCATGCATGGCTTGTTCTATATACATGTGTAGTGTAGAACTACTTTGTCATGACAATGACCAGTACAGTTTGTGATTTCAATAGAAATCATTTCAATCAGAAAGTTGTTTTTTTTGTCAACAAAGCGAAGCTGTTCTTATTACTAAATTGTCAGGATTTTACATCTTCCAATTTTTCTTAAAAACTGTTTAACTAAAAAGGCATCGTTTGAACAAATTGTATGTTCATATTTACAACATGTTAATGCAATTTTAATTAGGAAAACCCAATACAAGTCGTATCTTGAAATTATTTCATTCTGAGTCATTAACATTTTATATCCCATAAAAATCCAATTAGCGGGAATTGTATTTGATGCAGCTCTGCGGCTATAATTTTGATTAGTGTTTTAATTGTAATTGGAATAGATGGTGTTAGTGGTGTCATTAACTTTTGCTTGACGTTTATTATCTGTAATTAGTGTGTCTATTATCAAGGGTTTGTAAAATAATCAGTCTGAACTCAGACGGAAGGAGTAATTTACACACAAGGGAAATTTGCCAGACGAAGTGAAATTGAGTATGTATTGATGATTGCAAGTTTCAATCCTTTGCTGCCCAAGGGATGACAAAGTTTTTTTTTTTTTTTTTGTTCTACAATTTAAGTATTGTTGTTTTTTTTCTATAAATTTACTATCATTTATATCACACTAGAATAATTTGAATTCTGCTTCTAATCTTCCTAATTTTGTAACCTAGTTT